CTCTCCACTTCAAGGCCCCGGATAAACAGCGGCTGGTGAGGCCTCCTCTTCTTCCTCGTGTCCACTATCATCTCCTTTATCTTATCAGTGTTGAGGGTGAGGTTGTTGTCCTCACACCATGACACCAGACCGGCCATCTCTCTCCTATAAGCCGCTTTGTCCCCTCCAGTGATGCGACCGATCGCTGGAGTGTCATCCGCGAACTTCAGTATGGTGTTGTCTTTGTTGGAGGCGACACAGTCGTGGGTGTACAGGGTGTAGAGGATGGGACTGAGGACGCAACCCTGTGGGACGCCAGTGTTTGTAATAATGCTGGCTGAAGTCCTGTTGTCAATCCCGACAGACTGGAGCCTGCCAGTCAAAAAGTCCTGTAGCCAGTCACAGAGGGTGGGGTGCAGGCCGAGTGTAGACAGCTTGTGAGAAACATGTAACAAACATGCATCTGTGGGTTGAGCAGCAGAGTCGGGGCACATTGAGAAGACTCTTGCCTGGTGTTGTTTACTGGATGACTGAAGAAGCAACAGTTTGACTTAATGAGCAGGAACCTCAGCAGCATGTGGAAGAACCACAGCTGTCCTCTGTTGCACTACCCAAAGTCCTCTCCTTCGGGTGGCGCTGTCACTTGGTGTTGACGCTCTCTGCGGTAGAGCATCACTTCCTGTTCCTGTTCCACCACACAGTGGTGTTTTTGAGTAGCTTATCTGCTTAGCAATTTAATTAAAAACAAAAAATTCAATATCCCGCACAAACCTGTGAAAAATATACAGTACCAGATCAACTGAGTGCGACATTAAAAACAGTCACACATCACACATGCTCCATCAGTATGTATCATCACGTTGGACCTGCTTCACTCATAAATGTATGAGTTGAAACAGGAAACAAAGGAAATAAAGTTGCACTTTACTGCTCGTGTTTGAAGCTTTAGCTGACATGCACTCAGTGGGCGCTCGCAGGTCAAGTTTTTTTTTTTCAAAATTATTACTCCTGTTAAAGTAGGTCAGCTGTTCAAGAGTCTGATAGTAGTGAGGAAGAAGGAGCT